TTATTTAATTTTTCACTAGGCAGCAGCAGCAGCAGCAAGCTCCGAGTAGGATTCTACAGCAAGAGCTGCCCGAAAGCCGAGGCTGTAATTCACGGTGTAGTCCGTGAAGCCGCCGTCGCCGACGAAAACAACTCCCCCAGCTTGCTCAGGCTTCATTTCCATGACTGCTTTGTTAAGGGTTGTGACGGGTCGATTTTAATCGACAGCGGGGCCGAAACGGACGAGAGGCGCGCGTTCGGGCACCAGGGCGTGAGAGGGTTTGAAGTCGTCGAGAGAGCGAAAGCCGAGCTCGAGAAGATTTGCCCGAGGACTGTTTCTTGTGCCGATATCGTGGCTTTAGCCGCAAGGGATGCTGTTTTCTTGGTAATAGTTAGTTAGTTAGTTAATTTTGTGGCGATTACACATTTTTATGTTTATTTATTTATGTTGTTGTGCGTAGACATGGCTCCCGGTTGGCCCGACCCGTGGACTGGCCCGGAATCAGCCCGCCCTAGCCGGTTTTTGAATCGGTCCATAAGCTCTTAAGGGCCGGTTACGGGTCATGTTGTACTCATTTTTGACCTGCCGGCCCAGGTCAGGCTGGTTCCGGGCTCGGGTAACCGGCGGTTCAATGAATCGGTCTATAGATATAGGCGGGCCGATTACGGGCCTAGGATTTCAGACACGTTGACCTGGCGGGCCGGGTCATGAACCGGCCTGGGCTTTGGCCACGTCTAGTTGTGCGTCGTGCCGACTTTTAATTTGTGTGCTTTTGTGTAGTCAAGAGGGCCGTGGTATGAGGTGGAGACCGGAAGGAGAGATGGGAACGTGTCAAACGTGAAATTTGCGGATGAAATGCCGGATGTTGGGGATGATATTAAGAAGCTCAAGGCCAAGTTTTTAGCAAAAGGGCTCAATGAGAAAGATCTCGTGCTTCTAAGTGGTATGTGTTTGTGTATTAGGCTAAATTTCATTTTTAGTACGCTGGTCATGTTACGAAGAAGGTCCACTAAGTTTCACATTTGATCAAAACTCGTATAATAACCAATTTAGTGGATCATTCTTGATGACGTCTTATATGATGATTTTTTTTTTTTTGGAAAATGACCAACATAGTGGACCATTTTTTAAATTTTGTCTTGTGTATTAATTATGATATTGTAAATTTCTAATTCTATGTAGTTTTGGGAAGAATTACAATTTTGGTTCGTTTACTTGTCTAAAGTCTTTTTTGGGCACGCTAACTTTCCCCTCGTCAATAATAGTATGATATGTTGCAATTTGTATCTTTTAGAGAACATTACTCATAAAAAACAGTATGTTATGTTGCAATTTGTATAATTTTAAAGACATTAATTCAAAAATTAATGAATCATTTTTACGATAATGTCCCGATAGTGATACGTACCACAAAAGGACCATGTAATTTTGTTTGCATTTAGTGCTTTTGAGTACACTAGATATCAATGAATGTCACGTGTACAATATTATATGCAACTGTCACAAATCCTTTGCCTAGTTCTAAAACACGCGTGTACAGCTGCTCACACAATAGGCACCACAGCATGCTTCTTCATGACCCAAAGGCTCTACAGCTTCCCAGGCCACGGTGGCACTGACCCCTCCATAAATCCCTATTTCGTGCCCGAACTAAAATCCACGTGTCCCAAAAACGGAGACGTCAATGCTCGGGTGGCCTTGGACCGCGGCAGTGAAAAAACATTTGACGTCCAAATTCTACGCAACATAAGGAGTGGCCTCGCCGTGTTGCAATCCGACGCGAGGCTCTATCAGGATGTGGCCACCAGAAAAGTCATTGACTCTTATCTCGGGCTTCTCAGCCCAATCCTGGGCCCGTCGTTTGGGTCGGATTTTGCGGCGTCCATGGTCAAAATGGGCCGGATCGGGGTGCTTACCGGGTCAAAGGGGACCATTAGGCGTGTGTGTTCGTCTTTTAAGTAGTTGTGTATACAAACTAAGGGCTTTAGCACTGTTTCTGTTACTATTAATGAAAAAATGAAAATTGATGTTATTCCTTTTTTTTTTACTCTTATATATATATAAGGAGAGAATATATTTACAAAAATAATAATAAAAAAGTAAACCAATATTTATTGTATTCTATTTCTCACAATTTTAATTTTCCTTTTAAATTATTCTCATCAAATCGATCAATTATATGTGCACTCTAAATTCAAGGGTTTTGTAAATTTAATTTAGGTAAATTTCGACTGATGTTTGCAATTTTGCAAAAGTCAAAATCTTTTCACATTTTTATTGAAAAAAAATTACCATAAAATTGAGAATTTCGAATTAGACAAAATATTATCATATATATTTTGGGCGTTACTATTTACCGCCCCCCTTATTACTAGTCACCGCCCCCCTTGGACGATTTTGCCCTTCTCATTCGCACAATGTCCAGCAGCTCAGAGGTATTTTTTTTTCTGTCCGGCCGGAAAAGTGCCACGCAACCGGTGGTGTCCGGCCGACCGGACCGGACGGCTTAACACGCGACCGGCCGGTTCGACCGGACACCACCGGTTGCGTGCGGTATTGTGGGCCGTACGGACCGGTCGTTGTACTAACCGACCGGTTGTACGGCCCACTTGGTGTCCGGCCACGACGGCCGGTTGTAACCCAGTCTGGCCGGTCCGACCGGCCGGACACCATTTTTTTTATTTTTTTTTTTATTTTATTATTATTTTTAAATGCTTTAAAATTATTAAATACATTGCAGGTGTCTTTAGAAGATTTTGGAGGAGATGGTGTTGATTACCGTTCCGCTTTCAATACAACTACGC